ACACCGACAAGGACATGGAGAAGTGAGCGGGGCTGGCAGTGGACTTCACACTAGAGCGCGCTCCCCACTCGATCTGCTCCCTCCTCATCCTCCTCCCTCATCCTTTTTCCTCCTCCTCCTCCTCCTCCTCCTCCTCCTCCTCCTCCATCCCTTTCCCTTGCGAATAATCCCTCCCTTTCGCACCCCGAGAGGTGACGGTAGGGCGGACCAGGCGTTTCGCTTGAGACGTCCTCACCACTTATGATCTTGAAGCTTGAACTTTGCAAGGGTTTCACGGATGCAGATTTGGCCGTTTCTAACATGTAGCTCCCGCTTGCGATCGCCGCGCACATTCGGTTTACAACGTTGCACGAACTTCACGAGCGGATGGCGGGCCGTTTGCAAAGTGTGGTTCTTCTTTGAGCGCCGTGCACACTTCCGTCTGAAATCTTGCAAGGGCTTCACGGATGGATGGCGGGCTGTCTTCAAAATGTGGTTCTCGCTGCAGCGCCGCGCACATTCGTCTTGATTGGTTGTAAGAGCTTGTCGGATGGAGGGCATTCCTGTTCCAAATGTGGCTTTCGCCTGAGCGCCTCGCACATTCGTCTTAAAAGTTCGCAAGGGCTTCACGGATGTATGGCGTGCCGTTTTCAAAATGTGGTTCTTGCTCCAGTGTCGCGCACACTCGTGTTAAGAGTGTGGTAGGAGCTTATCGGATGGAGGGCGGCTCCTTTTCAAAATGTGGTTCCTACTTCAGCGCCGCGCACCTTTATCTTAAACGTGGTAACAGGTTTTGGGATTCGCATGGTTGACTTGTCAGGACGCAAGAGTAATTGATCTGCGGTGGTGAAGTCCCAGGAACGGTGTTCCAACACGACTCAGTATCGCCAGGACGCAAGAGTCACTTGATCCGTGGCATTGAAGTCCCAGGAATTGCGTTTTGGCCAGATTGGGGATGCTCATACGGGTGCCTATGGGGCACATCCCGCAATGAACATAGATTCGTGCAGGTGCCTATGCAGAGGGAAGTTGGAGGATGGGGGGTATTGCAACATCGCTGGTGCGTCTTAGGTTTGCACTGGTCCTCCTCATCCCCCTCCTCCTCCTCCGCTTACCCCACGGCAGTCGGCACCACCGCAGCCCATGGTGTCGGAGGGCGCCTCGACTCGGGGCAGATGGGGTGGAGCAGCAGGGCCCTCATTATTGAATCGCTTCGCTCATTCCGCCGGCCCATTTCGCATGACTGAGCCTCTTGGGGCCGCTGGGGGCCTCTTCAGCGTCGCTTGGGGGCCTCCTGAGGGCCTCTTGGGGGCTTTTGGGGCCTCTCAGGGGCCTCTTGAGGCCTCCTGGGGGCTTCTTAAAGCCGAGGGCTCGAAGTTTTGTTTTGTGTTCCCCCTTTGGGGCATCGCTAGGGCCCTCATTCTTTCCTAGCTTCCCTCCTCGGACGTTCGGCGTCGTGAGAAAGCATGAGCAGGATCGCGGTGGAACGCAGTGTTCGCCATCCGGAGACGCTCTTCGGGCTCCCAGACCGTGGCAACACTCTCCGGGATGGGAAGCGGGTCTTCGGGGAAGGGCTCGAGAGGCCTCCTGGCAAAATTCTCACGCGTCGGAGGCCTGGGGGCCCTGGAGGCGCTCGCGCTGGTCGCGCGAGCTCGCCCCAAGGATGGCCCCGAGGGGCTCCGAAGGCGGCCCAGGAGCGCCCCGGGAAGCCCCGGAGGCGACCCCTGGAGATCAAGAGGCCCGAGGAAGCTCCCGAGAGGGTTTTCCTGGGGCTTCCAAGAGGCCCCCGAGAGGGCTGCAAGAGCCGAAGGGGTGAGCCAGGGATCCTGGCCCCTCACATGCCCAGCCAGCCCCAGAGGCTTCCCGCTTCCTGCAGGAAGCGCACCAGCAACAAAAATATCCGAGGCCTCCATCCTGGGAGGCTTCTGTTAGCTTCCTGGGCCCTCTCAGGCCGTCTTTTATATCCTCCTAGGATCTCTTGGGGCCGTCTCGGGCCCCCAACTCGTGCTGGAGGACATTCGGGACAGGACGAGGAGGACAAAGAGGAGGACAGGGGGCGGGACGAGGACGGGGGAGGGATGAGGTGGATGAGGAGGAGGGGGAGATATGCGGCCCCCCTCCGCGTGTTGTTTTTTACACAGAATTCCTGGGAATCGGGTTTCCGTTTAGGTTGTGTTTCAACATGTTGTTCCCGTTGAAGCGTTGGCCTCATTTTCGGGCTTTCGCTCGTTCCGGATCGTGCTCCCGCTGCAGCGCTGGCCCCACTTCCTCGCTTCCGCTCGTTCCGAATCGTACTCCCGCTGCAGCGCTGGCCTCATTTCCGCGCTTCCGTTCGTTCCGAATCGTGCTCCCGCTGCGGCGTTGGCGTTATTTTTGCGAAGGCCTTACGGCCGTTGCCGCCGACCCTGAAGATGACGAAAGACAACGCGAGGGGGGGGGGCAGGAGGAGGAGGAGGAGGAGGAGGAGGAGGCGGAAGGGAGTAGGAGGAGGAAGGGTGAAGGGGGAGGAGGAGGAGGCCTTATGGATGTTGGTTGGGATCTCGTGGTTGACCTCTCGGGGGCGTCTGGAAGGCAACTTGAAGCCTCTTGGGGGCCGTTGTGGGGCCTCTTGGGGCCTCTTTTGGGCCTCTTGGGGCTTCCGGAGGCCGTCTTCGGCGCATCTTGGGGGCGTCTTGGCGCCGCTCGGGGGCCTCTTGGGGCCTTTTGGGGGCCTCTTGGGGCTTCCCGGGGGCCTCTTAGGGCGGAAGTCTCGAATTCTCGGTTCCTCGTCCCCCTCTTGGCCGTTTCTTGGGCCCGTCTTGGGGCCCTATTGGGCCGTCTTGGGCGCCTCTTAGGCTGTCCTGGGGCCTTCTTGGGCCGTCTTGGGGCCCTCTTGTAGGCCTCTTGGGGCGCTCTTGGGGGCCTCTTGGGGGCCTCTTGGGCCGTCTTGGAGTGTCGGAAAGCCGAAAAGGCGAGAAGGCCAAAATCATTCAAAAACCGATGTAAAATTGACGATTTTGGCGCCTGGGGCCCTCTTGGGTGTGCTCTTGGGGCTCTCTTGGAGCGTCTTGAGGGCCTCTTGGGCCGTCTTCGGGCCGTCTTGGGCGTCTTGGGGCCATCGTTCGTCGAGTCGAGGCCCTCTTGTACCCTTTTGGGGGTGTCTTCTGTCGCTCTTGGCTCGTCTTGAAGCTTTTCTGAGCTCCGGGACCCCCCGGGGAGGATGCGTATCTGGGTGGCGACCCCCCCCGGCGCCCCCCCCCCCCCCCGGCGGGGAGGGTAGGGAGGGGCTTCGCCACGACTCAACTACGACGTTGCTCAATGTCGCTTTGGCTCGCGCGCTCAAGGAGACGGGGAACGACGAAGACGACGAGGGACAACGGAGACGGAGACGACGAGGACACGACGGAGACGACGACGACGACGACGACGACGGTGATCCACGCAAGACGACGACACCGGGATGCGTCTTCCACACGCCGACAGGGTCGGCGGATTTCCAGTGCCATGCCACGGCATGGTTTTCGGTTTTCGCCATGCCACGGCACTAGGCCCCAGAATTTAGAAAATTCCCCCCCCCCCCCCGAAAAAAATATCGGAAGTGACTACACATTCGGTGTCGATTCGTTAATATTCTGGGCCGCAGAAGCTCCCCCCACTTTGGGGCGTCGCCACGCCATGCTCTTGCATGCTACGCGTTGGTCTTCAACACCATGCTATGCCATGTAATGCTACGCCATGCTACGACATCCGACTGTGCGAATAGAGAGGAGATCTACGCCATGGTAAGGGATGGGAGGGAGGGGTAGGACGTCAGATCTGACGCAAACGCACCTAGCTTGTCTTCCTCCCCCTCTCCCTCCCCCCTTCCTCTTCGGCATGCAGTGGAGGTGAAAGCTCCTCGTCATCAGCAGCATCATCATGATCAGCAGCATCAGCACAATCATCGTCATCGTGGACGTCGTCGTTGTTATCGTCGTTGTCGTCGACGTCGCCATCAGTACCATCATCATCATCAGCATCATCATCATCATCATCAGCATCATCATCAGAATCATCATCGTCATCGTCATCGTCATCATCATCATCATCCTCAACCTCCTCCTCCTTCTCCTCCTCCATCCCTTTTCCTTATAGAAAACTCCCTGTCGCACCCCGAGGCCTGTCGGAAGGGCGGGCAGGGCGGTTCGCCTGAGACCTCGTTACATTATATGATCCTCAAGCTTGGGATGTGACAATCGTTTCACAGACGGAAGGCGGGTGGTTTTCAACATGTGGCTCTCGCCTTAGGGCCGCGCTCGTTTGTTGTTGCACATGCGCAATAGTTTCGCGTGTCGAGAGCGGGCCGTTTCGAAAAGAGTGGTTCTCGTCTTAGCGTCCCGCACATCCGTTTTTTGTTTAGCAACAGCTTCACGAATTGAGGGCAGGTCGTTTTCAGAATGTGGTTCTCGCTGAGCGCCGCGCATCTTTCTTAAAGTAAGGTTAGAGGTTCACAGATTGAGGGCAGGTCGTTTTCAAAATGCCGTTCTCGATTTAGCGCCGCCCGCATTTGTTTTTTGTGATCGAAGCAATGCAAGAGTGTCACGGGTTGAGGGCGTTTATTTTCAACATGTCGTTCTCACTTTAGCGCCGCACATCTTCGATGTAAAGGTTTGCATGCGTTTCACGGATTCCCATGGTTGATGTACTAAGGCATGTGTTGTGGAACGGTTCAGGATTGTCAGGGCGCAACGGTTACATTGATCCGTGGTGTTGAAGTCCCAGGAATGGTGTTTTGGCACGGTCCAGGATCGCCACGACGCAACAATCAGTTTGTTTCCTGGCATTGAAGTCCCGAGGACGGTGTTTTGGCACGCTACAGGATTTTCAAACGGTTGTCCCCCAACGGGGCACTTCCGTCAATCGTTGACGGGTCTTGGGTTTACCTTGGCCTTCCTCCTGCTCCCTCCCTCCCTCCCTCCCCCTCCCTCCCTGGTCCCCCTCCTCCCCCTCATCCCCCTCTTCCTCCTCTTCGGCCTCCTCCCCTCCCCCCTCCTCCGCCACAGGTCACCAGGCTGCCCCTCATCATGCTTGGCGCCGTGGAGGAGGGCCTGCCCGCGGGCACCTACGGCTTCCGGTTCGTAGGAGCGCGGCGCGCGCTTCGCCAGAGCCCCGCGGAGACCAGTCGTCTGTGCCATGCGCCGTCCTGGATGATCGGTCGAAGATCAGACGGGGAGGAGGCGGAAGGGGAGGGGAGGAGAAGGGGGAGGGGAGGAGGGGGAGGGGGATGAGGCGGAGGAGGAGGAGGAGGAGGAGGAGGAGGAGGAGGAGGAGGAGGAGGAGGAGGGAGGCGGAGGAGTCACTTCCAGGGCATGCCCAGAAGGAGGAGGAGGAGGAGGAGGAGGAGGAGGGGGAGGTGGACGTGGAGGAGGAGGTGGATGAGGACAAAGGGGGAGGATGAGGAGGACCAGGCGTGGCAGGAGGATGTGAAGAAGGGGGAGCAGGGGGGTCGGCATCGAAGCGGGGGGAGGATAAGGAGCAGGAAGAGGAGGAAGACAAGCGGGAGGAGAGGGAGGAGAAACGAAAAGGGTGACGAGGGGGGACGGTCGAAAAGGAGGAGCAGGGAGGAGGAGGAGGAGGACAAGGAGGAGGAGGAGGAGGAGGAGGAGGAGGAGGAGGAGGAGGGAGGCGGAGGAGGAGAAGGAAGAGAACAAGAAGCAGTTGGAGAAGGAGGTGGTGGAGGAGGAGGAGGAGAAGGAGGAGGAGGAGGAGGGATAATATAAGGAAGACGACGATAAGGACGAGGAGGAGGAGAAGGAGGAACAGCACGGGTAGGAGGAGGAGAGAGATTTGGAGGTGGAGGAGGTTAGATGAGAGGGAGGAAGGGAGGACGGGCGAGCATGGACGGCAGGATGAAACGAAGGCGGCGAGAACCGGGGGCATGAGACTGTCGGCTGTCCGTGCCAGCACGTCGGCTCCGAGAGCCGCCACGGCCTTCTGCGGAGGGCTTCGGCAGACGCTCCTGGCACGCGGGCGAGGCCAACACATCGCCCCCCCCTCCCCCCCCCAAGGGGTGACCAATGCCAACGTGCAGACGGGCACGCTCGCGTACTGGAAGATAGGCACCTACGCGGACTTGTACAACTACCCGCAGATGCAGGCTCGTGCGCGCGGTCTTGCTTCAGCTACCCGTGGTGACCCTCCCTTTCCTTTTTCTCCGCCTCTTAGCGCGCTGCATGTTGTGTTCATTGTGTTTGTTGGTCAAATGTGTTGTTGTTGTCGCTCTCTCTCTCTCTCTCTCTCCCTCTCTCTCTCTCTCTCTCTCTATATATATATATATACACAAGATTTTAAGGCTCGCTGCGCTTCGCCTTCTAATCTTGATCCTTGCACCTACGATGTTTCTGGGCGCGGGCGAGAACACAATTGTTCAATGAGGTGTGTGGGAATTGCGCGAGCGGAGGCGAGGCGAGGCGAGTGCGCGGTAGCGCCCGGGGCGGGGCTCAGGGCGCAGAGTTGGTGGACGCTGGAGTGGAGGTGAAGGTGGAAAGTCGGATGCCGGACGCTAGAGGTCGGAGTGCTGAGCTGATGGAGGCTGGAAGTCTATAGGTGGAAGTCCCACCAGCCCTTTAGGGCTACGGTGGTATAACGAGTTTGGTCTTCTCTCTTCCCCTTCCTTCCCCTGCTCGGGGGAGGGGTAACCTTCCCCTGGACCTGGAGGGGGGGGGGGGGGATGGAGGCGTTAGAGCGTCCAAGATGGCTCAAGATGGCTCCAAGAGGCGCTCCAAGTCGCAAGATGGCCTCCAAGATGGCCCAAGATACCTCAAGATGGGTCAAGATAGCCTCCGACACACCTCCAAGAGTCCTCAAGACGGATCCACGTGCCCTTCGAGCCCTCCACGGCGCCCTCCAAGAAGCCAAAACCCTTCAAAAACCTAAGGAAAGTCAATGTGTTTGGCATTCTCGTCTTTTCGCTTCCGATGGGCCCCTGAGGCATCAAGATGGCCCCGAGATGGCCCAAGAGAGCCCCAAGAGGGGCCCAAGAAGGCCCAAGACGGCCCCAAGATCGCCCAAGAGGCTTCCAAAGAGCGCTCCAACACGTCCCCAAGACGCCGTTTGAGAGCCTCCGAGGGGGGGACCTGAACTGAGGACCCCCGCTCTTTTTGAACAATGGGGCCCAAGACGGGCCCGAGAGGCCTCCCAGCCTCTCCTGAAGATTCTCCACCCCGCCCTTTTTGGCCCAAGATGGCTCCAAGAGAGCCCTTCAGATCTCAGATCTGGGGCCCTTCAGAAGGCAGCGCAGAAGGAAGACAGCGAACTACAGGAGAGAGAGGAGCAGGAGGAGGAAGAGCAAGAGGAAGCCTTGTCGTAGGCCCGTGGTGGGGTCTTCTTGGGCCGTCCAGGAGTCTCGTGGGTTCTTCAGGGGAGCTGGTGATAGCAGTCTGGGGTCTGGGGTATGTTTTAGTTTTCGCGAGTGTTCTGTGGGCTTCTGAGACGGAAGGAGAACTGCGCATCAAATTGTGGTTCCCCAGACCTTGGAAGCCTGTCGTGGGATCTCTTTGGGGCCCCCGAGGTGTGTCTTGTGGCGCCTTGGTGTCTTTGGGGAGCTTGGATATGAGTCTCAGATCTGGGGCCCTTCAGAAGGCAGCGGAGAAGGAAGACAGCGAACTACAGGAGAGAGAGGAGCAGGAGGAGGAAGAGCAAGAGGAAGCCTTGTCGTAGGCCCGTGGTGGGGTCTTCTTGGACCGTCCAGGAGTCTCGTGGGTTCTTCAGGGGAGCTGGTGATAGCAGTCTGGGGTCTGGGGTATGTTTTAGTTCTCGCGAGTGTTCCGTGGGCTCCTGAGACGAAAGGAGAACTGCGCATCAAATTGTGGTTCCCCGGACCCTGGAAGCCTGTCGTGGGCCCTCTTCGGAGCCCCCTTGGTCTGTCTTGGCACCCCTGGTTGCTTTTGGGGAGCTTGTGATAAGAGTATGTGGTCTGGGGCTTTTGACGAGGCAGCGGAGGAGGAAGACAACGAACTACAGGAGGAGCAAGAGGAGCAGGAGGATAAAGAGCCGGAGGAGGAGGAGCAGCAGAAGGCGGTTGGGAGGAGATTTCCGAAGAGTTGGTGTCGAGAGTTAGGTTGGAACCTTCTTGGACTTTCTTGGGGATGTCTTCAGAGCCTCGAAGGAGGAGATTTCCGAAGAGTTGGTGTCGAGAGTTAGGTTGGAACCTTCTTGGACTTTCTTGGGGATGTCTTCAGAGCCTCGAAGGAGCAGCTGGAGGAGGATCAGGAGAAAACCTCCTGAGAAAATGAGTATCAGTTTTCGTATCCCGGAGTCGGTGGAGGCAAATGAGGAGAGGGCGATGGAGGAGGAGGAGGAGGACGAGGAGGAGGAGGAAGGCGACGAGTTCGAGGGAAGAAGGAGGTTGAGGAGGGGATGAGGGGCAGAGAGGGGGAAACGGAGGAGGAGGAGGAGGTAGATAAGGACGAGAGATGGGCTGTCGGACGTCCGAGTAGGTCATGCCGAGAGTTATTTTGGAACCCTCTTGGGCTCTAGTGGGGATGTCTGCAGGGCCTCATGTGCCGTCTTGGGGCGAGGTTGAGAAGAACTAGGGGCGATGGGGGGGCCGCTCAGGTCAATCAGAGTGTAAAGAATTTGACGGCTCTAAGACTGAGTGGAGCTCCTGTTGGTGCTTTTGTATACCATCGGAGGGCCTTCTTGGGCTGTCCTGGGGCCCTCGTGGGCTGTCTGGGGGGGCTTGGGCCGTCCTGGGGCCGTGTTGGGGCTCTCTCGGGCCCTCTCTGAAACATCCCGTGACTCTGTTGGAGCCCTCGTGGGGGTCTTTTAGGGGTCTCTTGGGCGCTCCCTGGCTTTCTTTGCGCTTTATTGACCCATCTTGGGGCCCCATTGGGCCGCCTGGAAGCCATTTCGGGGCGACCTCGGAAGCTCGCAGATCATTATTGGGCCCTTCGTGGCCAGAAAAGGCGAGAAGCACAGAATCGTTCAAAAATAAATGGAAAAATAAGGTTTTTGGCCTGCTGAGGCCGTGTTGGAGGTCTTTGCGGGGGCATCCTGGACAGTCTTGAGCCCGAATGCTCGCGCTGGCCTCCCTCTCAGTACCTTTCCATGCGCCTCAGACCAAGAAAACCAAAACTACACAATGTGTCGCGCCTTCGATGCAAGGACACCCCGTGTATGTTTGGCTGTTTTGGTTTTTTAAGGTCTGAGAAGCACGGAAGCCATGCGTAGTATTGTTTTTTGGGGGGGGGCTTAGGAAGCAAGGAAACATGGTGTATGTTTGGTTGTTTTGTTTTTTTCTGGGCTTGGGAAGCTCAAGTGCTCCCCGCGGCCTCCCCCCCAGCACCTCCTCCTTATCCCCCTTATTCTTTCCCCCCTCCTTCTCCTCCTTTCCTTTCCTTCTCCTTGTTGCAAAGCAAGAAAAAACAATAATACACGGTGGTTGGCGCCCTCGGAGCAAGGAAGCGCTATGTGTGCTTTGTTCCTGTTTTTTGGTTAGGATGCAAGAACACACGGTGTATGTTCGGTTATTTTTGTTTTTGGGTTTGGGAGTTCCGGACGAGAAGGAGGAGGAGGAGGTGCTGGGGGGGGGCAGCGGGGAGCACTGGAGCTTCCCAAACCGAAGCAAATAACCAAACCTACAGAATGTGTCCTTGCATCCTAGACCAAAAAGACATTTTAAACAACAGACATACACAGCGTTTCCTTGCACCAAGGGCGCCAAACACTGTGTAGTCTTGGTTTTCTTGTTTTGCAACAAGGAGGAGGAAAGGAAAGGAGGAGAAGGAGGGGGAAAGAGGAAGGGGGAGAAGGAGGAGGCGCTGGGGGGGAGGCCGCGGGGAGCACTTGAGCTTCCCAAACCAAGACAAAATCACAAAAGATACGCGATGTTTCCTTGCATCTTAGAACAAACAACCAGACACACCAAACATACACAGCGTCTCCTTGCTCCGAGGGCGCCAAACACTGTGTATTATTGGGTGTCTTGCTTTGCAACAGGGAGGAGGAAAGAAAAGGAGGAGAAGGAGGGGGAAAGAGGAAGGGGGAGAAGGAGGAGGTGCTGGGGGGGAGGCCGCGGGGAGCACTGGAGCTTCCAAAGCCGAAAAAAACAAAATAACGGAAAGTAAGGACACAGTGTTTCTTTGCATCCAAGACCCCAAACAACCAGAAACAACAAAAATACATAGCGGTTCTTTGCACCAAGGGCGCCAAACACTGTGTAGTCTTGGTTTTCTTGTTTTGCAACAAGGAGGAGGAAAGGAAAGGAGGAGAAGGAGGGGGAAAGAGGAAGGGGGAGAAGGGGGAGGCGCTGGGGGGGAGGCCGCGGGGAGCACTTGATCTTCCAAAACCAAGACAAAATAACCAAACATACGCAGTGCTTCCTTGCATCCTAAACAGAAAAAAAACAGAAACACCGAAACTACACAGCGTGTCCTTGCACCAAGGGCGCCAAACAGTGTGCATTATTGGTTTTCTTGCTTTGCTACAAGGAGGAGGAAAGGAAAGGAGGAGAAGGAGGGGGAAAGAGGAAAGGGGAGATGGAGGAGTTGCTGGGGGGGAGGCCGCGGGGAGCACTTGAGCTTCCAAAACCAAAAACAAACAAGTAACCAACAATACACAGCGTGTCCTTGCATCCTAGACCAAAAAAAACAGACACATTAAACATACACAGCGTTTCCTTGCACCAAGGGGGAGATGAATAAGATGAAGATGGACGTGAATACGGTTCAAGATAAAATGTATGATCTTTGGGGGGGAACCATGTATTTGTCTCTCTTGCTGTTTCCCTCCTACAGGTTGCACTGTTGCTCACTGGCTCTCGCTTTGCTGCGCCACGGTAGAGCAGTCGTGACCCTCCCTGGGCCCGACACGCGAAAACCGTGCAGTGTCGGTATTAAATTTATGCTCGAACTTCTTTCGGGTGATCAAGGTTAAAATAGGTAGGAACATCAGAAAGTTTCTGATGTTCCCACCTATGTACTACATCATATTAGATTGTTGGGGAAATCCGCAGATCACTGCCTAATTAGAGGAGCTGGGGGAGGGGGAGGTGGCGAAGACAGCTGGGCAGCTCGCCCCAGCTCACCCTGACGCCTGACGCCTCCTGGCGACCGTCCGCTCCAGCCCTCCGCCTGCGGCGCCGGGTCGCCGTCGCCG